TTGCTATGACATTCGGATGGTAACGTCAGAATTTGGACGTAAACAACATGAAAGCATGGCTCCATCGGTTGAGGCTGGTGTTGGTGGTTCAATGGTGTGGGGGGATAATTTCCTGACACACTTTAAGTACTTTAGGGTGTTCCTCCATGCTGTCTCCATGCTAACACATTTGCCTTACATGCGAAAGACCTCTGATTTGAGACCAGGAGATACAAATCCAGCCTCAGGTGGGGTTCACTAGCTAGTGCACTTCCTAGTGCGGCTCAAAAGTTAGGATAAACGGGATGGTTACATCAGGAAAACCATCAGGTGTAAAATCTGTACTGTTGGAGCAGCTGAAACTCTGGACCTACTTGTACCAATCAAATTGTTGAAATCCGGCCGTCACCTGAATGCTGTTGCTGATCATGCCTATCCCTCCATGACTGCAGAAACTGTTTCCTTGAACATAACATCGAGTCACCAGATCTCAGTCCGATAGAGATCTTTTGGGATGCCTCGTAGAGTTGCTGTCATTTTCATGTCAACACGGACCAAAATATCTGAGGAATATTCGCAGCACCTTGTTGACTCCATGCTGTGAGAATGAAGGCAGTTATGAAGGCTTAACCTAGTACTAGCCAGGTGTAAACTCAGGCTCTTTGTCCCACAGTGTGTCTTTGTCCTGTCTCCCTCCCCTCATCTCCAGCCTGTCAACAGATGGCCATCCCTCCACGAGCCTGATTCTTCTGGAGGCTTCTTCCTGTTAAAAAGGGAGATTTTCCTTCCCGCTGTCTCCAAGTGCTTCCTCACAGTGGGAGTTTTTTCTGTTACTGTAGGGTCTTTACCTTACAATATAAAACACCTTGAGATGACTGTTGTTGGGATTTGGCACTGCATAAATAAAGCTGAATAGAATTATTACTAAGGTGTGCAATGACTGTCATTGTCATGATTTCACCCAGCTCGTTCTTATAGATGTTGCTGCGCTATCCCCCAGCTGTTTATTACATCAATTGAGCTTTCCTATTGGTGGTGCAAGTATGACCACAGAAGGCTTATGAGGGCATGTAATTCTAGTGGGAGCTCCATGGGGAGCAGTTAGCCTCAGCAAGCCCACAGAACTCTGGACTAAGAGCACCTTTTCCTCACTAGATTTACTCTTCATAGCCTTTTCGGACCTTTCTCCCCCCCAAAAATAGCACATAGCAAAAATATCAGTGGGCAGTACAGCAGGGCTCTTTCTGTACTGTACAGTAAGTAAGCCCCCAGACTTTTAGTATGAGCAAATATCAAAGCACAGCCATCATCTTGGATGATAACACGGTTTTAAAATCACAAGGCTTTCTAAAGCTTCAGATATTTTGTCGTATCTCCAGGAGCCCCAAAACAATGGACAGCTGCAGTCATTAGACTGACAGAAAACACAACTCTCAACTTGTTAATCTCAGTTTCCATTTCCAGTCCGGCAGCGCCTCCAACGCTTACCGATTTCCGTGTGGGAAGGAGATTTTTTTGTGTGTGTTTTTTTCTCCACTGAACCAATCACCAAAGACCAAACTATTCTCCTGGAATTTAACATCACTTTAAGTTAACACTGATGTCAACATAGCGTCGTGTCGGGGTTTTAAGAGACGAGCGTGTACAAACAGCTCAGGATCTTCCTCCGTTTGCCGTTCAGTCGCCGTGCCTCGGGGGTGCCAAAAACAAGCAAGCACCGACGGTTTAAAATATCCCTGTCGCAGCAGACAGCTTGATAATGCTTGACAATGGATTTAAAGGTCTGGGTCCAGGCAAACAATCTCATCTAGCCCTACAGTAATTGCTAGTTGCCAAAAAAACAAGTGTTGTGTTTTGCCATCTCCACCTCTTCCGATTTCTCCTAAATAAATAATACAAATAAATCCTCTCCTCCATTAGCGCTAATGTACAAAATGAAAAGAAAATCACAGTCAGAGCTCTGGTCCCACTGTGCACTGTTTGTATGAGCGCAAAAATAAAGAAACAAAGAAAAGAAAATATAACTGTGACCTCTGCTGCTGTGCAGGTAGTACGTGACCTTGAGCATTATTCAGGTTTGCAGTTTCAGTCTGACGACTACACCACAGGCAGTTGTGTAAGAGAATAAAGAGGGATTCATTTACTCAGTGATTCTGCTGTAGTGCTTCTCAAATAAGGGTCAATTAGTACAGCGTTTGGAGTCTTTATCGCTGGTTTTAACTTACCACCAGAGGGGTAGCTTTTACAGCACAAGTCCAGCATCTCTAGAGTCTAATTGATTTCTTGAAAGCCAGAAAGTTTGCACTTCATTTTTAATCCTGTTTCTAGCAGGGATGCACCGATATATCGGTATATTTATATAATCCTCGCTGACTGCAACTAGAAGATGTTTACCAGTGGCTCTGGTTTGTGTTAAAATGCCCTAAATTTGAATGCAAAATCACAAAAGATGTTGACAAATGCAACTCTCCGGAGAGTAGAGTGGGTTTTTTTCCCCCCCAATTGATACACCAGTAAAAGCCCTCGCTGTACATAATATGAGCCTGCATAAGCTAACCTATGAAGAAAATTGAGAGGCCTATATCTCCATTCATACGCCAACAAGAAATTGGATTCCTCCCGACTGGCAATTGTGTCCAAAAAGAAAGAAAAAGAAAAATCAAATCAAATAAATGGAGCTGCCTAAGGAGAGAAATTCTCTTGCTGAAAAGCTACACAACATCAGCGGAGTTTTAAAAAAACAGGGTGGGGATGGGGGCATCATAGAGATCCGACAAAATGAGAAGGGGGGGAGCTTTCCAGCAAGGGCACTGAATTAACCCATATTAGTGTAATACAATGCAACAGGAAGAAATATGTGCCAGCACAAAGTGTTGGGCTCACACTGTGAGGAAAAAAGAAAAAAAAAAGCACGATGGAGTGAGTCACTCAGCAGACAAAAGCATGCATGAATTTGTCTCTCACGCCGCCTCTAATGAGTCATGTCAGTGGTTTTCAAGGTGAAGGGTTGTGATCATTCCCGGGAAAAATAAAATAAAATTAAAGAAAATTGATTTAATTTCTAAGAGCTTAGGAAAAAGAGGGTTAGGGGGGAAATAATAGCAGATAGCTGAGAGACAATTAAGAGCATAAGAAGTGACAGTGCAGCAGGGCTGTTTCTGTGTCCATCCCTCCCCACCTGGCGTCATCTCCCCGCGTTCCCTTACCCGAGGTAACCGATTCAATCAATACATCAGGCGGCAGCTCGAGTCAAGCTCCATTTTCCTACCGTGACGGCAGCTCAGGGAAAAGCAAGGGAATAATTATTTTATTTTCATACAGCTCCGTCCCGTCAGGTATCCCACCGGACGTCGGGTTCAGCCGCTGTTACGTTAAATGTAACCTAGTTTATATTCCGCAAGGAGCGACGTTTAGCTGAATCAAGACCGATGAGACACGTGGAAAAACAAAGTGCAAGTTGACATTGCGGTTTAGTCATAAAGCATCGGATGTCCCCTCCAGTTTCCCCTGGAGGAGGAAGGCAAAGTTTTTATTGTTGGTAGAGGAAAACTGACTGTGTGCGTTTCTGTGCACACGCTGTGCATATGTCTGCTTCTCGCCTGCTTGGGGGCATTTTCACCGATGGAGATTATATGACAGATGGTGCTGCAGTCCCCGGCATAATGAATGTAATTGTCAGATAAGGATACAGCCAACAACGGCGTTAATGACATCCTGAAAAGGAGTTTTTAGGAGGGCTGGGGTGGGGTGCGTGGAAGTTAGTCACAATTCTGAAGTACAAGAAGCCAAAAGCCTGGCTGAAAAACTCATGAAAGATCACCCCCACAGGCCACAGCTGTTATATTATTCAGCATCAAATAGAACAAGTAGAAGAAGAAGGAAGGAAGAAAATCAAACCATATTCTAAATGATGAATTGGAAATGAAGGGCGTCACTGTGCAGCGATGAGAAAACTTCTGATCCGATTCAAAGCGATGGGCTTAGTTACCTTTTCCGCTTTGATTCTGATGTTGAAAGACAGTGTGCTGTCTTCACATCAAAGAATTCGGTGCAGTGCCCCCTCAACCTCAACCCTGCATTTCTCTCACACAGACGCCGGGCAACACGGCTTCCTTCAGCTCAGGACTCACCTTTCTCTCTTTTTACGTGCATGCATAAATTAATCCGTGCATTATTTGCGTGGTTGCTGCTGCTTTGTTTGGTTTTATTTCCCCGCGCTGCAGCACACGTTCAGCTGCAAACACTGACACTTTTAGAAAATGTAAACAAGTCATGCTGACTGAGAGTGGAGGTATATGAAGATCCCGCACAGCCTACGCCAATATTTCGCTCTTGAGGCACAGTCTACCTATTATAAAATATTTAGACCACTCACACCACTGCATCTACCCTCACACAACACAGGCCTATTCGGGCATCTTTGAAAGACACACACACGCACAGTTCAGCCCTTGCAATCACGTCTCAGCTGCATCCCATTCAAACCACAGCGAGACATCCTCCTTAAATCATGAGGCAAAGAAACTAAGAAAAAGAAAACTTCATTCATAGGAATGCAGCGGATATGCAACTTATTTAAAAAGACATTTAACAAATGGGGGAAAGCACTACATGTCGTTTTAAGCGCCTTTTGATTGGTATGGAAACCAGCTCACTTTAACCCTCCAACAGGACGTTTAATAAGTCCAAAAATACACGAATAAATAAATAAATAAAACGGGGTGAAATTTCATATTTCCAAATTTCGATCTGACGGGCGCTGATTGCACCTGAACGCACCGATAGCCCGGCTAAAGTAATTAAAGAGTGGAGGGGACGCCGAGGTTGACATTATACATCACACAGAGCGTTTCTGCACCGCTGCAGGGGGGCGTCCATTCACGGGGATCATCATCATCACCATCACTCCCATCATCATCATCATCATCGCCCCGAAGCCCCCCAAATCTGAAGACAGCGGCGGGTATGCGCACAAACTGACGGCCAAATGCATTTTGAAGAAACACGAGCGTCACACTTACCGCGCATTTAGAAACGGCGGAGGAAATAGCACTCCGTCCTCAAAGTCAGCGTTAATTTCAAGTGTCTTTTCAGGTACAGTCCTTTACTGCACAGCGAGTGTGTGTTTGTGTGTGTGGGGGAAAGAGAGAGACTTGATGGGGGTCGAAGAGAGAGAGGGAGAGAGGAGGGCAGCGATTCCAAAGTGTTGCCTCCTGTCGCTCCGTTCAATATCCCCGTAAAAATCGCCTCTATCTGCCGCTGCTGCTCCACTATCCAGTGATGAAACAGCGGCTTCCTCGCGTTGCATCCACGGTACACTGTCCCCTTAGATCCCTTTATGGCACAAGGCGTCCTTTCTGTGTGCGGGGAGGCTACATCACGTCCCGTAAAAAGCTTGAAAAACGCCAGCAGCCCCTCTCGCCACCATGCGCTCACGCACACCAACACACGATTTAAAATAGAAGAAAAAAAGAGTATCCAGATGAATTTAAGTGGGGGGCAAATGAGGAGTGGGGACAAGAGGAGGTAGGGAAGGGAGGGTATCTTGTGAGAAAAGCTCCACGGAAGAGGTGAGGAGTGTGAAGAAGAAGAAAAAAGAAAAAGAAGCTAAGTTGTTTGGGTCCAGAAAAACTGAGCTCTCTGCGACTATGACAAACCAATTGCGCGCACTGGCTGGGAGTAATTCTGTACGGAGACCAAGGGGTTTTGGAGAGCCAGTGAAAGGTGAGAGGAAAAACTCGGATGCGGACTGCCGCTCTCGCCGTGTACTCGGGCTCCACCTAGCAGCAAACACGAGATAACATCCTGCAAAGCAAGGGGAAGAAGAAAAAACCCTCCACCTATATCTCGCCTGAGGCTGGCAAGGAGTCCTATGTTATATTACATTCTGTGTGTGCGCCTGTGAATGCAATATTTATAAAGAAATCCTCTGCTTCTCTCTCAGAAGCTTCAGCGATTTTTAAGAATATAACTGGAGTAAGAAGTGTCCATCAAAAGCTTAATGGAGAGAAAGAAGGGGGGAGATTTTAGGTGATTATTAAGAAGAGTAATTCAGACGACTTAGCTGGAGGCTGGTACATATTTATCCCATGTAACTCCAGCTGTTCCCTTTACTTATATTATATAGCCAAGAGTATTCACTCCCCCATTGAAATCATTGAATTCAGGTGTTAGAATGTGCTTCAGCATACCAAGAAATTTTGGGCTATTTCAAAGTCCCTACTTTGTTAGAAAAGTTTGGAAATAGCCCCTTCCTGTTCCAACACGACTGTGCAAGAGTGCAAAAAGCAAGGCCCATAAAGACGTGGATGAACGAGTTTGGTGTGGAAGAAGTTCACTGGCCTGCACAGAGTACTGACCCCAACCCAACTGAACACCTTTGGGATGAATTAGAGCAAGACTGCAAGCCAGGCCTTCTCATCCAATACCAGTGTCTGACCTCACAAATGCGCTTGTGGAAGAATGGTCAAAAATTCTCATGAGCACACTCCTGAACCTTGTGGAAAATCTTCCCAGAAGTCTTGAAGCTGTTATAGCTGCAAAGGGTGGAAACATTATATTAAGCCTCGTGGATTAGGAATGGGGTGTCGCTCAATTCATACGCATGTGAAAGCAGACAAGGGAAAACCTTTGCCAGTATAATGCATTTTAAGCCTCAATCGAAGACAGTTTTACAAAATGTAACCCCGGGGTGGCAGATCGATGTAGAGATTAAAAAAACAAAACACTAAAATCTTTGATGACCTTTGAAAGCAGCCCCAGCTGCACCCCATCTCCAGCTGGAGCCAGCCAGCCACTCGCCCTCTCAATCATCCTATAGCCAATTAATCACTTTAATAATCCTAATTACAATCAAACAATAAGTAATCATCCAATCACTCACCCAGTGCTCCGCTAATGAGCCCATGCAAACACAGAGCTCGTAAAGCACATTTTTGCACTTGTTTCCCATCTGAAGAACACCTTGAATTCCTCAACACGCCGATGAAAAATAACCGGACGGCCGCTCTTGCAAAGATGCAGCGTTATCTCTGCCTGGCACTGCTTTCTTTGCGCTCCCAGCGCAAAAGGATTTCTTCAGGTAGAGGACTGACCAAAGCTCCCCGACATTACACTTGCATAAAAACCCAGGTAGCTTCAAAGTGACAGCTTAAGTGCCATGCAATACCAGTGCACATTAAAAGCCTACACTTTAGCAGTGGAGCGAACACCACAGCAATACTGGGAGAACCAGTTTCCTGCGGATTAAAAGAATACAGGCCCGATTCAGATCAGATCCTTTTTGTTTGACTTCCGGATAACACACACTTCAGGAGTTAAGTATAAACAGTTTTATCCCAGAACTGGGACAGAACGGCATTTCAAACACATGGAAATGAAGGCAAAGTTAGACTTATTTCTAGTGTTATTGAAGAAACGCGAAATCATGAAAGTGATAAGAAATGTTCACGGACAGCATGAATGTAGCAGTCTCCTTTGTTGAATTTTGAAAAACGAAATGAAAAATAAAATCTGTGCCAATAAAAGTTTGACAAAAAAAGAGTATTCAAGAATTAATGGTATTTTTATTTGATTCTTGTCAGTATTCAGAAATGTTCTCTTGTGTAGCAAAGAAAAAAAGTCAGATCAGACAATGACAGTAATGGACAATAAACAGCAAACTGACAAACGTGTCAAGTAGTCATCCACACGTTTAAAAATACCTTCTGTTTCTTCACATTCACTCTCATTTGTAGCAAGTGTATCAGCTCAGTCCTTACTTTGTACTGAAAGAGATTTCTTTATGCAAATTCTTTGTTAAATTATCCTCAATACAGAGATAACATTATGCTGTTGATAAAAACATTTCATTTCAGCCAAAGCATCCTTCAAGGAATTTTTTTTTATTATTTTTTTTAAGCACGCACATTTATTTTCATATTCCTCTTCGAAAATGCTAAATTAGAATGGGTTCAATTTTGGAGGTGAAGTGCTCTTATTAAATCAAACTCAACACTGCGTAAACATGGTTATCATGGTCCAGATATCAACGGCTGAAATCATCTAATCATAAACTGAACATCTTTCGCATAAGGTGGGCCCTGGGCAATTTTACAACTTTAAAGCCGCTGTGATCATTATTTTTATATTAAGAACTGATCGCACAGCTGCTTGCAAATGCGAGGGGTCGCTTGTAGAGATGAACCCGCGAAGAAACACGGCTAAGATCATCAGATGCGTGCAGCTCTGTGAAGCCTTGGAGTTTCAGCCCATAACCTTACTGTTTTGGTTCACTCTCACAGCTCTCATCAGCCTTGTTTTCAGACACAGCAGAAAGCAATTTCAGTATAAAGGTTTGGATAAAGGAAAAAACTCAACAAAAAAGGTCTGTACAGCAGCTTCCCAGTGCAAAACAAAGGACAGATATATGGAGCATTTAGCTGCTAAAGAGAGAGTGAATATTGGGCAGGTTGCTAGCGTTGCATTATGCTAATTTAAGGCAATATAATAGTTTTATATCAGTGTTTTTGCTCCTAATTCATTCCATCATAACCCATGCCCAAAAAGTCAGTAACTACTGGACAAAAGAAAAAAAGATAACCTTCAGGGCTAAAGAAAAATACTAATGCATGGGAGCCAACAACTGAAGTTGTTTACCTGAGGCTAGTTTCAAAACCTTAGCTTATCAGAAATAAACACGTTTACAACCTGGTGCAGGAAAATGTTTTGGTCTCTTTGGCTAATAACCTGCTGCATGACAGCTACACAGGGTAAATAAATCTATAACTAACTCCTTTAATTTGTAATAAGTTTGTATTAATCAAGAAAGAGGTATATGTTTTTAAATAAGCAGATGCTAATTTGGTTGCTAGGTGTATGTTAGCTAATTCAGCTAATTCATCCCAGGACTGGACCTCAAGACCATTTTTTGTGTACTTTGTTGCTTTTTAGAGAAATTTAAAGACAATTATCTAACTAGACACATCTTTTTTTTTATTTTGCACTTTTATTTAAATATGCCACAAAACAAAGACTATGAAATGTAAATGGGTAAAATATTCAGGAGGAAATGGAGTATGTAGCAAACAGTTTTTCCCCCCGACTGGCTCATTTCAATATCTATTTCCTTGTAAACAGCAACATTTCAGTTCTATCACACTGTGTTATTGTATAATTGTGTGTCTAACATGCTAATGCTAAATATCCATCTGCCAACAGATTTGCTAAATACAGAGAGTTAAGCACCTGAGACACAATCATAATTGAACACCATAAAGTGACGCATGGCACTATAAAAACCTCTGTACAGCTACTCACCATGCTGTTGTAAGAAACTCTTGCCAAATACAAAGCTGTTCAGGAAAATTAAGGCTTATGGGGACAGTTGTTGTGCAAAGTGAATCCAGTAATGAAGAAGCCATTTTGCCCGTTTAACCATGCTACCATGCCTAGGAATTATCTTCTTCACTGCACTCAGACAGCTTATATAGTGTTACTCAGCTGTTTGTGGGGAAGCACATAGAGGTTGGAAAAGTACTATTTGCGTTGTTGTAAAAACACATACATACACACACAGAAAAATGTGGTTGAACATACAAGTTGGCCGCATATAGTTAGTCCCGTGATGAGATAAGAGCACCAAATGATTGAATAGTTTGTAGCAGCATCCTTAGCAGCGATAGCTTGAAGTAATGGTTTTCTGTAAGACTCTACCAGCCTCTCACATGCTGCTGTTGTTAGCTGTTGGATAGATGGCCTCACTGTATACTTTGGTATATGCAGAGGAGTTCACATTCAACTACATGACAGGAAGGTGTTCAGATCCTGTGGATTAAAAAAAAACCCAAATCACCACCCCTCCACCACCGTGCTTGACAGTTGGTAAGAGGTGTTTGTAATGATATGCTTTGTTTGGTTTTTGCCTAACGTTGAGTTGTGCATTATGGTCAAACACCTCCACTTTGTTCTCATCTGTACAAATCTTGTGGTTTGTTCAGATGCAAGTTGGCAAATCTAAGCCGTGCTGCTATGTTCTTTTTAAGGACTCTTTGGTTTCACCTGACAAACCTTTCAAACAAGCCAGACTTAGTCTTTTTCTAATTGTAATGTCACAAACTTTGACTTCCATGACCGATGCCTGTAGAGTATGAGATGTAGCTCTTGGGTTTGTTTGTTTTTTTGCAGTTTCTCTGAGCATTGCAAAGTCTGACCTTGGGGTGAATTTGCTGGGGCATCCACTCTTGTGAAAATTGTGATTATGATCCAGACCATCAAACTGTCAAAACCTCTGCTTTTATAGAGGTGCTCACACTTGCTGATGATGAGTTAATCAAGTGTAAATGATTATCAGCACCAGACTTACTCTCTTACATAGAGTGCATAGAGTCCTGTGAAAAATCTCATATTCACACGACTGGTAAAATGACCAACATGACAATCGTTTCATTGAGTGGCACTGACTTCCAAAATTACATATGAGTGTATTTTAAACTAATGTCCACATATTACATGATTGCCTAAATCAAAGCATGTGATTTCACAGCGCACAACTTTAGTCCTCTATGACTGATAAATGATTGATGATTTATGATCTATGAATTCATTAAGGTTACACACAATTAAAGTAAGACTATATAACTTTTGAAAAAAGCAAAGACACAAATAAAAAGTCTCCTTCTTAAGCTACAAGAGCAC